AGTTATAAACTCAAGTTTCCTCCAAAATCTTTACATCAAAATTTTTGCAGATCTAAAAAGGTATTTTTTAATAATGTCAATATTTCACAAAATTTAAGTTTACAGGCATATATGTAATATGAAATTTCAAATAGCATTTTTTTTTTTTTGAAGAGGCTCACTCTGTCACCCAGGCTGGAGTGCAGTGGCATGATCTCAGCTCACTGCAATCTTTGCCTCCCGGGTTCAAGCGATTCTCCTCCCTCAGCCTTCCTGGTAGCTAGAAAGTATTACAGGTGTGTGCCACCACGTTTGACTAATTTTTGTATTTTTAGTAGAGATGGGGTTTCACATCCAGGCTGGTCTCCAAATCCTGATCTCAAGTGATCCACCTGCCTCAGTCTCCCAAAGTGCTAACATTACAGGTGTGACCCACTGCACACAGCCTTTCAGGGTTATTTTTGTCTTATAGGCAATTCATAGTAAATAATGAGAAAAGCCTACTGTAAAACTGCTAAACCTAGAAACGGGCTGATCTCAGGGCAAGGTAACATACCTTAACAAAAAGCAGTAACTTGTTTGATACAAAGGCTACAAACGTTGACTTCTACTTTGACTTTCATTCAAGTATTATCTAAGGAATCGAATACTTAGATTATCAAATAAACTATCTTTGGGCCAAAATTATGTAAACAACTTCAACAATGCTAGCCAAATCAGGTGTGGCCCTTAAATTTCATCTAAAATACATACCAAAAAAAAAAAAAAGAAAAATGTAAAGACCAAAAAGGTATATATTCCTTTTGTTGTTGTTTTGTTTTAGTATTTTTAAGAAACAGGCTCTTGCTGTGTTGTCCTGGCTGAACTGCAGTGGCTACTCACAGGCCCAATCATAGTGTACTGGATTTTCACACAGCAGCTTCTCTCCTAACAAGTTTTACTGCCCTGAAGTGCTGATTTAGTACCTTTTACCATTTCAAATACTTGTATCAGACCATCTAAGGCCAAGTGGGAGAGATTAAGCTCTATGCTGTAAAAAGGATTCAACTTACCAGCATTTAAGTATAATGGTTCCACATTATTTCCCACCTCCAACATACAGGATTATACCATATTAACATATCAGCAATAAAATAACCATAAAATGGGAGGCAGGGGCAAATAAGGAATTGTGGTGAAAATATCTTCATATAATAAATTATAACTATAATCTGTATTATCTATTTTGACAGAAATAATTCTCCCACTGCTATGCCAGATGTTACACATGGTTAGTAAAATCTCCAAATTCCTTCAAGCATTGATATCTTTTAAAATATTTTTATCATTAAAAGTTTAATTGCCTCTGATTCTATCCATAATGGTAAATTAATAATATGATGAAAGTAGGTGTAAACAAGACCAATTAAATGCAATGCTTTCTTCAAAGGATGTATCTTAAAGTCAGTTTATTAGAATTCCAAAAATATTTTAGATAATAACCACCACCAGAAGTCCTAAGCATAAGAAAACATAATCTTAAATAAGAGTAGCCTCTCAAAGTGCTCAGGATTTTCAAGTTCCCTCTTTAGCCACCAAATACTTAGTTTTTTTTTTTTTTTTTTGAGACAGAGTTTTGCTGTTGTTACCCAGGCTGGAGTACAATGGTGCAATCTCGGCTCACCGCAACCTCTGCCTTCTGGGGTCAAGCAATTCTCCTGCCTCAGCCTCCTGAGTAGCTGGGACTATAGGCACGCACCACCATACCCAGCTAATTTTTCAAATACTTAGTTTTTAATGTGGTTAAGATCTTAAGGAAGCTTTGCATATCCTTCTATTTGAGTTTGAAATGCTTTCAAAAGCTCAAGAACACCTGCTGACAAAACAAACACTGACTGTGGCCCTTTATCCTTAGATTATTATCAAACTATCTTTGGCCAAATTATGCAAACAACTTCAACAATGCTAGCCAAATCAGGTGTGGACCTTCAATTTCAAGTCACGAATCATAACTGCAATACTATGAATAACATAGGTACTATTTATGTAACATATACTCTTCCAAGTTGCATACTTAAATAATAAATCATAAAAGACTCTGAACCTTAGTAGGGAATATAATAGACAAAACAGGTTTTCAACCAGTCAGACCGTGATTCAAATCCCAGCTCAACTAACAAATAAAACCTTAGGCAAACTTTCTATCAATGTATTCATTTGTGAAATGGGAATACTACTACCTAATAGGATGTGGTAAGAATTAAGTAATATAATACAGATACTCAGTAAATGACAAGTGTTATTATTTATTTTACTAAATGTCTCTGTAATTTTTAAATCCCTTTTACATAAGACATAAGGAAAATAAATATGAGGGGAATATTACCTAGTGATTTAGCAAATAGATGTTCCTCTAGGAATATCTGAAACTAACATTTTTGTTTTTTCTATTATAGATGATGCTGGATATTTACAGTTATCAGATTATCTACTTCTATCTTATCTATAGTTTGATCATTTTGTATACTGTGTACATGTTCCAGTGAAAACTCCAAAAAAAGTAAAGAATTTATCTAGACCATGTGCTTTAGTCATACTTTAAATAAACCTTTAATATAGCCAAGTATCTTTATTCATGGCAGTTCAAATGTATCAAAACTATTAAATAGGCTGGGCATGGTAGCTCACACTTGTAATCCCAACATTTTGGGAGGCTGAGATGGAAAGATCTCAAGCCCAGGAGTTCAAGACCAGCCTGGGCAACATAGGGAAACCCCCATTTCTACAAAAAAATTTAAAAATTAGCTGGGTGCGGTGGTGCATGCATGTGATCCCAACTAATTGGGAGGCTGAGGTCGGAGGATTGCTTGGGCCCTGGAGGTTGAGGCTGCATTAAGCCATGATAGCACCATTGCACTTCTAATGGTGCTATCATGCGCAACAGAGAGAGACCCTGTTTCAAAATACCATGAAACACAAGTAAATGCCAAAATTTTAAGAAAAATTGCTCAGACTTTTAAAAGAGTTTTTGTAAGTGGCTTCAATTTTGGAGAACTCTACTCCATGCTAGGAAGAAGCAATTTCTTCCTGCCAAACAGTGAAAGTAGAAGCCGACTCTTCTATGCAGAAAGAAAACCATGTAACCTCTTACTCAATGAGCAGATCCCATCCTCATCAAGTGTTAATCCCTTATTTCTCACTGTAGGGTAGGGACCAGGATTTTATGAATTTTTAGAAGTTAATACTGTACATAAGCCTTATTTATAACCATTCCAGAAGGGTTTGAGGTATCCTGAGATCAAACATTCTAACGTGTTTCAGGAAAACCTGCAGTCATAACCAAGGGGGAAAAAAGCCGCCTATCAGTTCCATTCAGGTTTACCACCAAAAGTTCTGACATCAAATAAAACAAAAAACAGAAAAACACTTTTGTTTTACCTTAACCCTATTTCTGCAGTCTAGCTACAGAGTAAGCCTAATGTTTTTCAAACATCTGAGGGAAGGAAAACGATCATGTCTCTCTCCCCTAAAGCTTTTCTTGAGATGCTCCAGCTGTAACCCAGTCCCACTTAGGTTCACATCACAGGGCTTTCCAAAGGAGAGCCTTAGCCAGAATGAGACAAACATGTCCACTAAGACAAGGCAGTACTACTTTTCTTTCCTCTTCCTTGCTTCCAAAAACCCCTAAAGCACCAATCCTCTCCTTTCCTCTGGGATTTATAGCATTAGTCATAGTTTTCTCAAAAACCTATTTTAATCGTTAATATTTCTTTAACAAAAAACACTTCAACTCATAGAGACCTCCACCTCTGTTCCTCATTTTTTTAGAACCAAAAAAATTACTTAATAATTATATATTGATCATATATTAAGATATTTTGGATATAATGTATCCATATATTTGTAATAATAATTACAAACCATTTTACTTGTTTTTTATTATTTTTAATGCAACTACCAAGAAGTTTAAAATTCACATATGGCTAACATTTTCTTTCATGTTTGTTTTATTGTTGTTCTTAGTATAGAAGTACATGTGCAGGTTTGTTACATAGGTAAATGTGTCATGAGGGTTTGCTGCATTAGTTATTTTTCCTGATCCTCTCCCTCCTTCCACCCGCCAGTAGGCCCCAGTGTGTGTTGTTCCACTGTGTCCATGTGTTCTCACTATCTAGCTCCCACTTATAAGAGAACATGCAGTGTCTTGTTTTCTGTTCCTGCATTAGTTTGCTAAGGATAATGGCCTCCAGCTTCATCCACTTCTCTTCAGAGGACATGATATCATTCCTTTTTATGGCTACATAGTATTCCAAGGTGTATATGTACCACATTTTCTTTATCCAGTCTATCATTGATGAGCATTTAGGTTGATTTCATGTCTTTGCTACTGTGAATAGTGCGACAATGAACATATGCGTGAATATGTCTTTATAAAAGAACAATTTATATTCCTTTGGATGTATACCCAGTAATGGGATTGCTGGGTCAAATGTCTTGAAGTCTTTGAGGAATCACTACAGTGTCTTCCACGATGGTTGGACCAATTTACACTCCCACTAACAGTTCTTGTTTCTCTACAACTTCACCAGCATCTGTAATTTTTTTCTCCTGTCTGATTTCAATTCTTTTCTGAACATCCATTTTTAACTGGCTTACAACATATAGTAGTTTCACTAGAGTGAAATGAACGTATTGACTTAAATTACTGACTTCCTGGATTTTTTTAATTTAGAATTTTTGAAAGTGAGAATATCAGCTCTTGTTCACTGATCTTGATCTCTATTGACTAAAAGTGACAAAAATTTCCTCTTAAAACTGATTCCAAAGTCAAGAAAACAGTTTCCATTTTCAAAATTAGCTTCAACAAGATCATGTGAAGCAAGTAATTTAAAGAAAAATCAGATGAAACATTAAACTATACAGCCAATGGTGGTTCTTCTCCTAAAAGAGCTTGATGTTGCAGGAACACCCTTCAGGCCTTAGAAGATGGGGAGAGCAGGAGGGAAGGCACTGACAAACAAGAACTAGATGGAAAACAGAAGTTATAGCTGATCAAGAATTTATCTTTATTCTGGTTATGATTCTTCAAAGAGCATTAGTTGTTTAAATTTCATTTAACCCATGCTTAAATAGAATACATACAAAATATGACTACTTATATTCCTTTTGACCAAAAAGCTGAAAATTCTGTGTTCTAGTTCATCTCACTCATTTTATTCTGACGTGAAACACTCTAAATGTAAATCGTTTTGAAAGTAAATAGGCCAAGTGGCCTACCCAGCCCTTTTTTTGGTATAAATTCTGTGATATTGCCTCTTTTCAGTACATGCTGCTCTGTGGGCCTTTGGCTTACATGGAGACCACCAGCTATAACCCATGGCAGTCAGGTTCCGCATCCTCACTCCAGTGCGCATCTCGTTTCTCAGCCACAAGATTGATGAATTGAGAATGACTGGCATAAAGCTTCAGTTTATCATTGATGTCCACCCATCTCACTTTTCCAGCATCATCTCCAGCTTCTAGGGTTAGATTATCCATTATCTCACCTGGTTACCAAAGAAAAACCATCACCAAGAAAAATTAACTTCTGTTTTAGCATATATATGTCATCAAGTATTCGTACTTAAAATAATCTTAAGTCATCATTGTACTAGCTGGCAAAGTGAATTAAAAACTAGATTATTCCATACCTGGTCAGCAGAATGAATAAAAGAAAAAAAACTAGACTATTCCAAAACGCCCAAATTTTAACCAAGTCCCTAAATTTTAGGTAAACACACAATATACAATAGGTATTTACCTAAATTTTAGGTAAATACACAATACACAAAAGCTTTCCTTTAAAAAGTAAGATTATCCTTAAAAAAGAGATCATATTATATGAATATGAAACCTTACATCAGAATCAATCCCAGAGGGATTAGAGATTTGAATGTAAAAAAAAATAAAACAGGGAGGCCGAGGCAGGTGGATCACGAGGTCAACAGATCAAGACCATCCTGGTCAACATGGTGAAACCCCGTCTCTACTAAAAAAAATACAAAAAATTAGCTGGGCACGGTGGCACGTGCCTGTAATCACAGCTACTCGGGAGGCTGAGGCAGGAGAATTGCCTGATCCCAGGAGGCGGAGGTTGCAGTGAGCCGAGATCGCGCCATTGCACTCCAGCCTGGGTATCCGTCTCAAAGAAAAATAAAATAAAATAAAATAAAACAAAACAAATTATTGGTGACTCTTAAGTCTTAAGTAGAGTTTTCTAAGCATAACACCAAACCAAACATCATAAAGTATGTTTAGGTATTTAATTTAAAATATTTTAACAAACATAAGTATTTATAAATAGATTTATTAAAATATGTAATACAGTATTTTGGGAGGCCAAAGAAGGTGGATCACCTGAGGTCAGGAGTTTGAGACCAGCCTGGCCAACATAGTGTAACTTCATCTCTACTAAAAATATAAAAATTAGCCAGGAGTGGTGGCACATGCCTGTAGTCCCAGTTACTTGGGAGGCTGAGGCAGGATAATCACTTTAACTCATGAGGCGGAGGCTGCAGTGAGCCAAGATCACACCACTGCACTCCAGGCTGGCAACAGGGTAAGACTTCATCTCAAAAAAAAAAAAAATTGAAATTAAGATTATCAAAAAAGTGAAAAATAAGTGCTCCCAATCACTGTTGAGAATATAAGTGGCATATTTCTGTAGGAAATTTGGCAATGTTTATCAAGAGCTTTAAAAAGTAAGTGTTCTTTGATAAGCATTCATTTCATAAATATCAGAGTACATCTTGTCTACCAGACTCTATACTAGACAGTGAAGACACACTAAGCAATCCAGTAATTTCACTTTGAAGAATTTATTCTAAGGAAATAGAGACAAGCCTATTAAAGTATTCAAAGCTAACATTACTTAAATATTTTATTTTTATTGTATATTTTTTGAGATGGAGTCTTGTTCTTGTCAACCAGGCTAGAGTGCAGTGGTGCGATCACGGCTCACTGCAACCTCCACCTCCAAAATTCAAGCGATTCTCCTGCCTCGGCCTCCCAAGTAGCTAGGATTACTGCCGCCCACCACCATGCCAGGCTAATTTTTTTGTACTTTTAGTCGAAACAGGGTTTGTACTAAAACCCACCATACCCAGTGGATCACAATATATTTCTAATTGAAAACCTTGGCCACGCACGGTGGCTCACACCTGTAATCCCAGCACTATAGGAGGCGGAGGCAGGCAGACCACCTGAGGTCAGAAGTTTGACACCAATCTGACTAACATGGTGAAACCCCATCTCTACTAAAAATACAAAAAATTAGCTGGGTATGGTGGCGTTCACCTGTAGTCCCAGCTACTCAGGAGGCTGAGGCAAAAGAATCACCTGAACCCAGGAGGTGGAGGTTGCAGTGAGCTGAGATCATTTTGCACTCAGCCTAGGCAATCGAGTGAGACTGTCTCAACAACAAAAAAAAAACCTCAAGCAATAAAACAGAATGCAACGTATAAGCTCACTTTATTTAATAATAATAAAAAAACTATATGATATCTTAAAGAAGATATAACAAAATGTTAACTAACAGTAATTATTCTTGGGTTATGAAATAACTGGTGTTTTTTACATTTTTCCTCTTTATATCATCTATTGATAATGTAAAGATGATAGATCTATCTAAATACCTTTCAATAAATGTATGTTACCTTTACCTTTATAATAAAATAATAAAGCTACTTCTTAGAAGAGAAGAACTACTCTAATATTTTAACAAACCAGTTTCTAAATTCCAGTGCTAAAACCATATGGTTCTTTGTGCAATCCTCATTGCAACTACAATATCCAACCATCAGTGAAGAAACAGAACTAAAAAGTAAATTTAAATTCAGAAGTTAAATTCAAGTATCATGTTCCTTATCAGAATTAATAATGTCCGAAAGGTTCTTTTTTACTCCCTACTCTGGTCACCTAATAAATTACATAAAACAAAATTTTAAGTTTAAAGAAGCCTGGCCTGACATGTAAAGAGACTGAAAATGATCAGTCCCATCCATCCTCACAACAAAAAAGCTGAACAAGCTGAAGATCAACAACCCTCCTTAGATCCATCAGAAAACTGAGGTCACAGAGCACACTGCCATGCCAAAAACTGGAGAGACAGGCAAACACAGAGAATCATAACTTACCAGGGAGAGAAACCTACCACTGGAGTCAGCATCCAGTAGGAACACTTAAAGGGTAACTGACTAACTGCTGAAAGCTGACCTTCGGACTAGCTTGAAAGATAAAATCTCCTAGGGGCGCAACCTTACCAGTACAAAGCAGGGCCTACATTTTAGTGAGTTTTAACTCCAAGAAAGCCACCAAGATCTCAGGGTGAAGACTGGAGAAAAATCCTCTCTCTCTTCCAACTTGGAGAGGGGGAAAGGTAACCATTTTGAAATACACCCAGATCACTCTCCCTCAAGGAAAACTATTTTACCAAACCCTAACCAACATGAAGGAAAGGAAATACCCAACTCCAGCCCCTGCTGGATGTCCTGTCTCTCCTAAGGATGAGGGAGGAAGGAGGGAAGCTGAGAAGCACTTATGAAGGTCACAGCCCAGGGCCACAGCCTCACTAAAAGACTGAAATCAGGGCCGGGCGCGGTGGCTCACGCCTTTAATCCCAGCACTTTGGGAGGCCGAGGCGGGTGGATCACGAGGTCAAGAGATCGAGACCATCCTGGTCAACATGGTGAAACCCCGTCTCTACTAAAAATACAAAAAATTAGCTGGGCATGGTGGCGCGTGCCTGTAATCCCAGCTACTCGGGAGGCTGAGGGAGGAGAATTGCCTGAACCCAGGAAGCGGAGGTTGCGGTGAGCCGAGATCGCACCATTGCACTCCAGCCTGGGTAACAAGAGCGAAACTCCGTCTCAAAAAAAAAAAAAAAAAAAAAAGACTGAAATCTAACCATGTATTCTCCTGCTTCCCCTTGCTCTAGAATTTACCACCCTATCTATCAACAGGGCTCCTGTTTAATAAAAGGGGAAGACAACTGAAAGAAGAGTATGCTTCAGAACTGTATGATTCAGATCTTATTTAAGAAGTCTCCAGGGAAATCCAAAACTAGAGGAAATTTTAGCCTCTGATACTTACAGCTACAGCAAACAAAAAACACAACCTAACTCCTAGCCGGATAAACATAAAACCTCAAACTAAAGAACTATTTGCCTTAGTTCCTTTTACTAAATACATCACGGTCAGTTTTCAAAAAAGCACTACAGCCAGGTGCAGTGTCTCATGCCTATCATCCCAGCACTCTGGGAGGCCAAGGTGGGTGGATCCCTTGAGGTAAGTAGTTCGAAAGCAGTCTAGGCCAACATGGTAAAACCTCATCTCCAGTAAAAATGGTAGAAGGAATAGAAATATAAATGGTGCCAGGAACTTCTCCCAAGTTCAACAAGCAAAGGCACAGAATATAGAAATGATAATCTTCTAGTTTTAGCCCATTTTATAAGTGAAAAAGCTGAATTCAAGAGGACAAATGATTTCGCAAATCTACAAAAATTAGCTGGGCATGGTGGTGTACCCTGTATGTTGTACCAGATATTTGGGAGTCTGAGGCAGGAGAACTGCTTGAACCTGAAAGGCGGAAGTTGCAGTGACCTGAGATTGTGCCACTGCACTCCACTCTGGGTGACAGAGCAAGACTCCATCTCAAAAAAAGAAAAAAAAAGGTGGGGGGGACTACAAAGCATGCTACAAGGCAAAAAACATAGCCTAAAGAAACAAAGCAAGCATTAGAACCAAACTCAAATATGGCAGAGATTTTGGAATTATCAAAACAATTTTTTTTAAGTTTAAAGAGAGAAAAGGGTAGGGTAAAAATAGCAAACAACCCATAAACTCTATAATTGACCTCTGGAGGGTCAGTCATTGTTTTTAACTCCAAAAATAAGTAGTTAACAAATTTATCAGTACTAAAGTTGTTCAGACTTACTTCTAAGTTACATCTGCATATTTCTTCTAAGTTTTCAATACTAGAAGGATAAACTCTTCTAATACACCTTAGTGGAAATACAGAAGGAATGAAAAATGGTGCCAGGAATTTCCCCTAAGTTCAACAAGCAAAAGCACAGAATATAAAAATGACAGACCGGTTGGGCACGGTGGCTCACACCTGTAATCCCAGCACTCTGGGAGGCCGAGGCGGGTGGATCACAAGGTCAAGAGATCGAGACCATCCTGGTCAACATGGTGAAACCCCGTCTCTACTCAAAATGCAAAAAATTAGCTGGGCATGGTGGCACGTGCCTGTAATCCCAGCTACTCAGGAGGCTGAGGCAGGAGAACTGCCTGAACCCAGGAGGCGGAGGTTGCGGTGAGCCGAGATCGTGCCATTGCACTCCAGCCTGGATAACAAGAGTGAAACTCCATCTCATTAAAGAAAAGATAAATAAATATAAATTAAAATGACAGATCTTTTATTTCTAGCCCATTTTACAAGTGAAAAAAACTGAGTCCAAGAGACCAAATGATTTGTACAAGGTTACATAGCTCAGAAAGAGCCATGAGTGGAATATTCATTTCACTTCTCTAGCGTGGTGCCCCACTTTTATGCTACAAATAAAAACAAATCCAATTTAGCAATAAAATATGTTTCAAGGGAACTATTCAATGTGTACATTAAGATCAAATTAATTCTTAAGAGAGCAGATTTTTTTCCTTTCTCCTTCTGTAATAACAGTTTTGACCCTCCTCATAAAAGTTTAAAATTCCATGTACCAGAAAGAACATTCATTTAAAATTGTTTCATTACTTGGAATTTTTTGTTATTGCTTCGCATTTTAACAACCCAAGATTATTATGAAAATATTTCAAACAATAAGATATAAATCCCATTTCCTTTATCATTGCCATACTTCCTAACCAAATCCCAGTTGCGTTTGTTTTACAAAAAAAAAGAAGGAATCATAATAAATAATCTGACATCTTTAGAGTGTATCATTTTAGCCCACAGTTTCAACCTTAATTTCAAATGTTACCGGTGGATTAAAGAAAATTTAGTCACCAGTGATAATTGTTTTGAAGATTTCTCCTATGTAGTCCTTTAATATCACCAATTTTGCTTTCCTATAACTGCAATCCTACAATCAATAGTTAATTGGTTTAAGATGCTAAAATAGTCCAGATTTAATCATGTCCTGGTGGGCTACTCACTTAAATTGATCCTTTAATCCCAATCAGTTTAATAAATATAAAGTTACCTGTTTCGTCATGGTAGTTCACAGCTTCTGTCTCCATCCATGCATTATCGGTGTTTCGAGGATCATCAACATATCCCTTATATATCTATTTTCAAAAGAAAGCAGATTTTTAAAAAGTCCAAGGTGTAATGAGTGCAGCAGAGCATGTGACCTTCACTAGCATCAGAAATGTAAATATCCTGTTGCACAACATGAACATACTTAATGCTACTGAGCTGTACATTCAACAGTTTAGATGGTAAATTTTATGCTATGTGTTTCTATCAAAAAGTTTTTAAGAAATGTAATTATTGACTGGGCACAGTGGCTCACACCTGTAATCCCAGCACTTTGGGAAGCCAAGGCAGGTGGATCACCTGAGGTCAGGAGTTCAAGACCAGGCTGACTAATAAGGTGAAACCCCATCTCTACTAAAAATACAAAAAAATTAGCCAGGCATGGTGGCAGGCGCCTGTAGTCCCAAATACTTGGGAAGCTGAGACAAGATAATTGCTTAAACCCAAGAGGCAGAGGTTGCAGTGAGCCAAGATTATACCACTATACTTCAGCCTGGGAAACGGAGCAAGAATCTGTCTCAAAAAAAAAAAGAAGAAATGTAAATATTATAGAACTTTGAATGTAGTGCTTCGTGTGCTTGTTTCAAATTTCCCACAGAACAATATTCTCTTTTGAGGCAGCTTTAAAAGTAACAAAATCCTCAACACCTCAAACTCTAATTTCAGAATTTGAAAATAGTCAGATTTGGGCTATATGATTTTTTTAAAGAGTCCATAATTTAAGTATTTTTTCTGTGGTTATACTTTCCAAAATACTAAGGTAGATTCTTCTAGTTAAAGAAGATCTATAAGTAAAACTAAAGATTACTACTTAAGCTATTAATACACTAAAATATTTGAATCTAGTCATCTAACACAAACATAACAAAAAAATCTGGACAACATAAATAAATTCCAATTCTGAAAAGAAAACAAGCAATCCAAATAAAAACCGACAAAAAAGAAAAAAAACTATTATTTTCTTATTATTAGTGTGCATATACCTTGTACAGTATTGTTTTTAAAGCCCAGAGGCCAGGCTCATGCCTGTAATACCAGCTCTTTGGGAGGTCAAGGTGGGTGGATCACCTGAGCCCAGGAGTTCAGGACCAGCCTGGGCAACATAGTAAAACCCCATCTCTACCAAAAAAAAAAATTAGCCCAGTGTGGTGGTATACACCTGCGGTCCCAGCTACCCAGAAGGCTGAGATGGGAGGATCACAAGAGCCCAAGAGGTTGAGACTGCAGTGAACCATGATCATACCACTGCACTCCAGCCTGAACAACAGAGCAAAACCCTGACTCAAATAAAAATAAAAATCACAGAGGGTATATGGATGAAATAGACATGAGACTTAAATAGTTATCGACCAGAAAAATCTCTGCATGACATAATTTAAAACATAACTGTTCTTTTAGACACAACTGAATTCATGCACATACAAAAGGTTTCCTGTTGGATAGATACTCAATATGTAAGAAAATAGTTTATAGGCAGGGCGCAGTGGCTCATGCCTGTAATCTCAGCACTTTGGGAGGCCAAGGAAGGCAGATCACTTGAAGTCAAGAGTTCAAGACCAGCCTAGCCAACACAATGAAGGCCTGTCTTTATTAAAAATACAAAAATTAGCCAGGAATGATTGTGGGTGCCTGTAACCCCAGCTACTCCACAGGCTGAGGCAGAAGATCACAAACCTGGGAGGTGGAGATAGCAGTAAACTGAGATGCTGAGATGGTGCCACTGCAATCCAGTCTGGGTGACAGAGGGAGACTCCATCTCAAAAACAAAAAGAAAAGAAAAAGAAAAAGAAAAAAGAATAACCAAGAAGAAAAAAGTTATTATAATAAATGATGTAAATGACCTGAATATAGATCATTTTAGCCTATGTAGCCCAAAGTTGAGCTATAAAACTTTATATAGAAACCTGTTTACAGTGAAAATCTATAACCTGCTTTTGTGAATATATTTTAAATACACAAGTATTCCCACTGTATTTAGAGAAGGACCTACTAAATTTCCAGGTCAACTTTTAAGTCATTTTCATCAATCTACAGAACGAAATCCCTCCTAGGAAACACTATTTCTTACCACTAGATGGTCTTCGTTGAAGAGTTTGTGCAATTTTTCCTCTATTTCTCTCTTTTCAGCACTGGTTTTCTGTAAGGTGTTGAGAGCTTCCTCGCCAAATTCTCTTTTCAGTGTAGCACTTATCTTCTCTCCTGGATCTACCATGCCCTGGGAGTCACATTTAAAAATTTGGAAAAAGGGCTCAGTTTTGATTTGTTCAATAAATATTTACTGAGTGGTAGAGTTAACATTTATTATTCAATCTGCCTATAATAGTGATCCCCATTTCTCTGTGACACGCTGCTCTCTAAACCATCTGTTGCTAATAGAAGGAGCCAATAAGGATACCTCATGTAATTGGCCACAGTGACTGGTCTAAGGTTAGCCTATGGCAAACTGAGCCAATCAAACCAATTTCCTGGTTCTTGCCAAATTCAAAGGAAAAAAGGCTCGAGGTAAGAAAGAATACAGCAATTGATTATTCCCCCATTGTTTTTCTATTCCAGCCACACTGACCTCTCCTCAATGTTCCCAGAAGACGCCTAACATGCTGCCACCTGAGCGCCTTTGCACTAGATATTTCTCTAGATATCTGCATGGTTCACTAATTCATTTCCTTCAGATAGTTATCTAAATGTCACCTCCTCAGGGAGGTCTTTTCTAACTGCCCTGTCTAAAATTGCAATCTTCCTAGTCCCCTACCTTGCTTTTGTTTCTTTCTTAGTACTTCTTTCCTTCTAACATGCGATATATTTAACATATATCTTACATTATATGTCTCCCTGACTGGAATGTGAGCACCAAAAGACAGATTTGTTTATGTTGTTCTGTTGCATCCTCAATGTCTAAAATATTAGCTGACAAAAGGAAGATACTAAAAATACACTGATTAGATAAATAACTGTCAAACTGATCTCAATTACAGCAGTTCCCTAATAAGAATTTCAAATAACAATAAAAATATAAGATCCTATGGCGAAATAATTATTACGTTATTGCTTTCAACCTAAGTGAAGTTTGACTATTTCATAGAAATTAGCCTAAATTTTTAAGAGTCAGTTGAGATCCTTATTTCCATTCAATTTTTATTCTACAAAGAAGAAAACATTCTTGCAGATAACTGTATGTTTATAAAAAGTCATCCTCATATCAAACTATCTCCATTTCACAATATGGTATAAAATATAAAACCCTCTACAACACACATACACACTTTAAAAGGCCACTTCAGGCTGGGCATGGTGGCTCACACCTATAATCCCAGCACTTTGGGAGGCACCGAGGCAGGAAGATTGCTTGAGGCCAGGAGTTCCAGAACAGCCTGGACAACATAGTGAAACTCCGTCTCTACTAAAATTACAAAAATTAGCCAGGTATAGTGGCACACACTGTAATCCCAGCTATGTCGGGAGGCTGAGGCACATGAACTGCATGAACCCAGGAGGCAAAGGTTGCAATGAACCAAGATCATCCCCATGTACTCCAGCCTGGGCGAGAGAGTCAGACTCTGCCTCAAAAATAAATAAAAAATAAAAGGCCACTTCAAATATAGCACTGCCATAAATTCAAACTACAAGCCAACAAAAGTATACTTGTCTTGATGACATTATAGAAATTATTTAAATGACAAGGAACAGTAAATAACAAAAGCTAATTTTTACATGTTGTCAAAAGTTACCAGAATTCAACCAAAAAGTGCTTAAAAATACTACCTTGGGCTTGGAGTGGAGGATAAATTCTGAGATGGGACCCAACATAATGAGTGCTTATTTGTATGTGATCTCTAATAATCCTGTGAAGTAGATATCTTTATTTTAAAAATGAGGGCGTGAACTCCCTATCGCCCAGCTGCAAGTGGAAAGCCCAGAAAACCGCCCTACATCTAAGGTCAAAGCTCAAGTCCTTTCCCAAGGGTGTCAGAATTAGATGCAGATTCTAACGGCTTGGATTATCCTAAACTTGTTGCTGACAGTGCCACTTCATGCAGGGATGAAAAACAAAAGAATTACTAATTGAAGTGGGAAGGAATAGAGGAAAACGGAATAGAAAAGATCCACAAACAATAACCCTGTAGTAAGTAAAGCAACTAAAAAGAATGTAAACACTTACTTTATTGTAATGCTTACCCCTGGGATTGCCCATTCTCCACAGTCTTTCCTTTTGATTGCAACAAACTGTAAGATGTGTTTCCCAGAAACAGGATGTATGATTTTATTTCCACTGCTATCTCTTTTCCATCTGTGAATAGTAATGTAAAATCATAACTGATTTACAACAAAACTAAGGTTCTATCTCAAACTTGAGACAAAGTTACAAAGTCATTCTTCTTTAAAACAGAGTATATATAAATTTATCTCAAATCAGCTAGTTTTATTAAAAACTGTTTTATATTAGAAATATTCTATATTCATCACTGTTAAAACCAAGACAAATGTCTACATTACCTAAAAGATACTATATTAGCAGTAATGAAAATTCAGGATACAAACAATTTTTACTACTTCAAGTACTAACAAAAGAAGTAGCAGAATAGAATTTGAAGAAAAGATTACCAAAGTTATTTAAAAATAATTTTATAAATCCTTTTTTAAAAATTACTGGTAGTCGCCAAGCGCAGTGGCTCATGTTTGTAATCTCAACACTTTGGGAGAATTGCTTGAGCCCAGGAGTTCGAGACCAGCCTGGGCAACAAAGCAAGAGCCTATCTCTACAAAAAAGATAGATATGGTGGCATGCACCTATAATCCTACCTACTTGGGAGACTGAGGCAGAAGGGTTGCTTGAGCCCAGGAGTTTGAGGTTGAACTGAGCTAAGATCAACTCCAGCTTGGGTGACAGATAAAGAGCCTATCTCAAAAAAGAAAAAATAAATAAAATTACTGGTAGTGAAAAAGGCCTGGTAGGATTTGCTTTTGGCTGGGGGCAGTGGCTTATGCCTGTAATCCCAGCACTTTGGGAGGCCAAGGTGGGTGGATAACCAGAGGTCAGGAGTTCAAAACCAGCCTGGCCAACATGGTGAAACCCTGTTTCTACTAAAAACACGAAAATTAGCCAAGCATGATGGTGGGTGCCTGTAGTCCCAGCTACTGGGGAGGCTGAGGCAGGAGACTCATTGGAACCTGGGAGGTGGAGGTTGCAGTGGACCAAGATTGCACCATTGCATTCCAGGCTGGGAGTGTTAACAAGGATATAAACCAAACTTTGAACCTGGGCAATCTGGTTCCAGAATCTATGTTCTTTTTTTTTTTGAGACGGAGCTTCACTCTTGTTGCCCAGGCTTGAGTGCAGTCGTGCAATCTTGGTGGCTCATTGCAACCTCCACCTTCCAGTTTCAAGCAATTCTCCTGCCTGAGCCTCCTGAGTAGCTGGAATTACAGGCACCGTCCACCACGCCCAGCTTATTTTTGTATTTTTAGTAGAGACAGGGTTTCACCATGTTGGCCAGGCTAGTCTCAAACTCCTGACCTCATGATCCCCCCACCTTGGCCTCCCAAAGTGCTGGGATTACAGGCATGAGCCACCACACCCAGCCTATATCTTATATTCCATGCATTTCTTATATTCTCTGGATTTCTCGACAAGCATATTTGTAGAGAAGGGGAAAAAAAGAGAAAATCATTTTTGAAAATATTTGTTATATATTTTCATAAAGCATTTACATCAGCACTGTGTAACAGAACTTTTTGTGGTAATGAAAATCTTCTGTGGTGGTGGCTCATAACTATAATCCTAACACTTTGGCAGATTCTAGTTGGAAGATTGCTTGAGCCCAGGAGTTCAAGACCAGCCTGGGCAACATAGCAAGACCCTGCCACACACACACAAAAGTTCTACATCTGTTCTTTTTAATAAGGTAGTCATTTGCCACATGTGACTATTGAGTACAGGCATGAGCCACCGCCCCTGGCCAGAATCTGTGTTCTTAATTACTATACTATCGACTTAAACTGAACAAGCAGAATGTTTATACTAATTAGATAAGAGTAAAGATAAGAAGGCAAATGACGGCTCTGTTCACTCATAAACATTTAGTAGCACCTACTATACATCACATGCAAGGAGCTGGGAAAACAAAGACTCAATAAAGCCATTGCTCTTCAGCCAGCCAGCCAGTTGTGGCTATAGAACAAGGATGAGAAACAGAATAGAGAGATGCTGGCCAGGTATGGTGGCTCCTGCCTGTAATCCCAGCACTTTGGGAGGCTGAGGTGGGCGGATTGCTTGAGCTCAGGAGTTCAAGACCAGTCAGGATAACATAAGGAGACCACATCTCAAGAAAAAAGAGAGAGAGAGAGAGAGAAAGAGAGAGAGAGAGAGAGAGAGAGAGACAGACAGAGATGCTGCTGAGGAGAAGGCAGGACCAGAAAGATGATGAACAGGCCCAGAGAGATGATGAACAACTTGCGTATGTTCTCAGATTTTACTCTGAAGGGACACATGTATGGATTTTAAGCAGAGTAGTTTCTTGCTACTCTATTTATTAGTAAATACATTATCACCAATTTTAAAACAAAATTTCTTGTTCTAACAGAACTAATATATCATGTTACTTGATGAACCTAGTGAACATTTACTGAATATCAATAATATTTCTACACCCTATTACTATTCCCTCCCCAGTTCTAATAGTATACACCTTACTGTCTTTAACCAAAAGTGAACAGAAAATGATACTATGATCAATTATTTGACATGAATTTATTCACGATAATATAGTCATACTTCCCAACTCATTTTGACTCTAAAGGCTCTGCAACTTTTAATAATTATACCTAGACAAACTCTAGGAGAGATACCTGGAAACCTGAAATTTTGACACTTGCCCTGAAGATTCTGAACTAAAAAGTTTATGAAATCCTGAACAATGCTATTTTGAACATGAAGTGCATAATTGAAAGAAAGGCGGGTGGAATCTTTGTTCTGAAAGTGCCTGGGTGATTCTTAGGATTACTCACTAGTGGTGTAATATAAAAAGCACAATATTTAAAGCCACTTACTCCTCATTCAAAAGTCAGATCTACAACGTTTGGGCAAGTCACTTAACCCCAGTTAGTCTCTATTTTCAAATCCTCAAGACAGATATATCAATACCTACTTGGAGGGGCTTTTGTGAGACACAGAAAAACTAATGATGGCACTGACAAGATCCCTATAACAGACTAGTCTAAAAGTAGAATACTTTCAACAATGCTTCTAAGGTTTGACTCTTTCTTCAACATCTTTCATTCTTCTTTCTTCCATTTCTGCTGCCTCTCATCTATTTAGAGGAACTCATCGATTTATTAATTAATGCATTATTAATTATTATAAATTAATGCATTATTGAGATAACAAACAACATCAACCTAAGAGTACAGCTGAAAGCTAGACTCTGCCACCTGTGGGCTCTCTTATAGCCTTGGACCATCTCTAAACCATCAGAGTTAAGCTCAAAAAGTCTACCATTTCAAAACAACTTAACACACAATCACCAGGTCTACTGCCAGCCACTATTTGGTCCACCATAGATAAAGATAAGCTAAATAGATTCTAACTTTCAAGTCTCTGGTTTCCCTTTTCTGCTTCTTGTCCCTTACTAGCATTACATTCCTGTTTCAGACGTTTCATACTTTCCTGGTTTTGGCCAGCTTCACCAAAATCAGAAACTAACACTGCCAGTAATATATTTTTTTAATTAACTCTTTCCATCTCATTTAAACCATAAAGTTTCAAAAGGTATGTGGATGGATAGGTAGGCTGATCAGTAGTTAAGTAAGTAGGTAGGTGGATGGGTGAGTAAGTGGATGGATGGATGGGACAAAGACAAAATGTGAGGTTGGATAAAGATCCTTTTTGGCAGGGAAATCAAGTAAGAAAATAAGACCAAGTAAGTATGGGTGCCTCTTCCGATAACTTGGAAAAAAAAAAAAAAAGCTGCCTTCTAGAGTTAAACTATCAAATCATTATTATATCTCAAATCAAAGAAAAACAGTCTCCTTGAAGAAAGGTCCCCAAAATATCAAAACTAAAAAAGTAACAATAGAGGATATTTGCATTATTTAAAGAAAGAAAGTGACAATTCCATGTGAGGAGATGGTCAGTGAAGGAATTCTAAAAGTAAAAAACTAAAAATTAAAAGGATGACAAATACGACAATATTTCAGATACATTAGAAAGATGATTGCTGTGGAGACTGCCAAATCCATCTAAACATTAGATTCACTGACCTGCTTAATTCTGATTCCTGCTCACCGAAAGACCTGAATATGATTTGGCTTACCAGATAGTTCTGCCTTGGGAAGAGAATGCATCTCCCCTGTTCTGCAACTTTCAGTAGCTCTAGTCTATACTCCTAACTTCGGCATTTAAAATTCTCCACCATAGGCTGGGCCCAGTGGCTTATGCCTGCAATCCCAACACTTTGGGAGGCCAAGGTGGACGGATCATCTGAGGTCAGTAGTTTGAGAGCAGCATGGCTAACAAGATGAAATGACATTTCTACTAAAAAAAAAATTAGCAGGGCATGGTGGTAGGCACCTGTAATCCCAGCTACTTAGGAGGCTGAGGCAGGAGAATCGTTTGAACCTGGGAGGTGGTGGTTGCAGTGAGCCAAAATTCCACCATTGTACTCTGGCTTGAACTATAAAAGCGAAAGTCTGCCTCAAAAAAAAAAAAATTCTCCACAATAAAACTGCACAAAAATTAATTTTAAGTTTCATTTTCACCACTACTCTCCTACAAGAATATTCTGTTTCAATCAAGCTAGTCATTACTCAGATATTACTAGAGCCCCTTTCCTTAGGCTTCCTGCCATCTCCCTACCCAAGGTTCAAGTTGGGCACAAATCAACCTGCTTTATGCTGCCTTTCTTGGGTGCTCCAGTTTACCACAGTCACACCCCATATTCAATCTTCTAATCTTCTAAAGCATCCTGCATCACCCATATTACTTGATCATATTTAACATGTTTTCTTACTTCATATTTTCCATCTTGCAAATAAAGCCATAGCTCTTCAGTGACAGAGAACCAACTTAGGATTCTTAGATTTTTTTATATCCTCTAAAGTGCCTACTGAGAACAAATAGACGTTCAATAAATAGATGCATACAGAATTAACCTTCTTTACATAATGCCTAACCTACTCATATAAGTACAGCTTTATACTTACATCACATCACTATCATTTTAAATAAAGTCCCTTAAAAATAAAAATTATATATATATCTGCATGTATATTTATGTATATATACATGTGCGGGCCTGTGTGTCTAGTCATGTGCCATATAACGATGTTTTGGTTAATAACAGATCATATATGCAATGGTGGTCCCATAAGATTATGATGGAGCTGACATTCCTATTATTCCTATCACCTAGTGATGTCATAGCCATTGTTAACATCCTAACCCAACACATTACTCACACGCTTGTGGTGATGCTAACGTAAACAAACCTACTGCACTGCCAGTCATAAGGACAATTATATACAGTACATAATACTTGATAATAAGTGACTATGTTACTGGTTTACGTATTTTCTATACCATACTTTTTATCATTATTTTAAAGTATATTCCTTCTACTTATTAAAAAAAAAAGTTAACTGTAAAACAGCTTCAGGCAGGTCCTTCAGGAGGCATTCAAGAGGAAGGCATTATTATCAGAGGAGATGACAACTCCATGTTCTAGTGGGACAAGATGTAGAAGTGGAAAACAGGGATATTGATGATCCTGACCTTGTGTAGGCCTAGGCTAATATATGTATTTGTGTCTTAGTTTTTAATAAAAATTTTTTAAAAATCTTTTTAATTTAAAAAAGCTCACCGAATAAGGATATAACAAAAAACTATTTTTGTACAATTTCACAACATGTGTTTTAAGCTGTTATTATAAAAAAGTTAAAAAGGTTTTAAAATTTTTAAAGTTTAAAAAGTAAAAAAGTTACAGTAAGCTAAGGTCAGTTTATTATTAAAAGAAAAATATTTTGTATAAATTTGGTGTAGCCTATGTATGCAGTGTTTATAAAGTCTACAATAGTGGACAGAAACGTCTCAGGCTTTCATGCTCATTCACCCCTCACTCTGACTCACCTAGATCAACTTCCAATCCGACAAGCTCCATGGAGGTTAAGTGCCCAAAACAGGTGTATGGTTTTTATCTTTTATATCTTATTTTTACCTATTTTTCCTATGTTTAGATATACAAACACTTACCATTGTGTTACAGTTGCCTACAGTATTCAGTACAGTAACATGCTGTACAGGTTTGTAGCCTAAGAGCAATAGGCTACAGCATACAGCACAGATGTATACTACTTATATAATTGTACCTACACAATCTAGGTTTATGTAAATACACTCTCTGATGTTCACACAAGAAAATCACCTAACAATGCATTTCTCAGAACATGTTCTCATTGTTAAGCAATACATGACTGTATATACGCATATATATACAAACACACATACATATGTATACACACACAGGTACACATATATACACACATTAGCTACAGTCTGTATTTTTCCTATCACTTAGCTCTTTGCTACTGATATATATATACGTTTTGGTTCTTACCTGGTTATAATAGGATCTGCAGCATGATTTGGACCCCATCGCCCCAAAAGCCCCCGGCCAACCAGTCCAGTCCGTCCTGCAGGATTTCTGGGAAAACATAAAAGCATAAAATCAATGTGCCCATCTTTTTAACCTGATTTGATAAAACCCAAAGGAAGGGGATACAAGCAGTAAGACAGAACTAATATGTCCTCACAAATCCAATAATACTATCACATATCCGGTGCTGAAATCATGTATTTCATTACACTGCTATTTAACTTTTCTTTTGTGCATGTGCTAAGCTTTAAACTTGATCCAGAAAGTACTTCTCATACCTGAAGTGGTTCTACAGTGTAATGATTTGTTTCAGTTTTCACCTATCTGCCTAAATTCAAACTAGAACCTTACTGAATTCTTTTGGAAAACCCACATCTCTCTTCACTTGCTCATCATTCTCATTTCCTACTCTACTTTCCTACAACCCTTCCCATTCAAGTTGTTTCTGTTGCATTAAGTGCATTTTTCCTCAATTTTTGGATTCTTATTATCAATAATATATATTTTATGCCATGTAACAGGTATTAGTATTACTATTTCATAGATTTCAAGTATACTAAAATACAATTTTATAAAAATGTCAACTATATATCCTGATACCACAACCCAGTGTTAAAAATTTGTGAGAGAAACCTAGCAAGACTCATGCCTGTGTCATTTTATTTCAGTAAATATTCTTTAATTGTTCAACTTTCGTTATATACTACTAAAATGTTCTAACGTGTAATTCTACTTAATGACTCTGTATCTTTGGCCCTCCTATTCTATGAAAGTAAATAAACAACTTGCCAAAATTTCCTTTTTTGCCATCTCTTTTGATTCTTTCTTCCCAGTGAGTATTATTAAAATTGAATGAATTTTGATAGTTTTTATACTAGACTCAGAAATATTTCAGCAAGACATGCAAATAGCAACAGAAAGAAAAGATAAGACACCTGCCCACTGACAATAATTCTTTTCTAATTCACAGAAGACGGGGTAGAGTGGCCGACAACCATATTTTATTCCATGTAACCACACATCCCTGAACACACGTGATCAAAGTCAACACTAAGAGACAGAATGTTAGCTTTTATAGATGATCAAGACTGTAACTCATAAACAAGAAACTGGAATGGACACATAGACTATATTATAGCCTGAAAAGCACTGTGGTTATTTGCAAAGAGAGTCAACAATATAGAGGAAAGCATAGATGAGGCAGAGAGAGAGTCATGATGGATTTTGAATTCTGTCTTTTCTAAAGTTAGCTGCATTTTTGTTTCGAGCTCCTTGAGACACTCCTATAGCCTTCAAATAAATTTTACTTTTGCTCAGGCAAGCTAAAGTTAGTTTCTAGTACTCAAAGAGACTTTATTAAAAGAACAATCTATCTTGGATTTCCATCTATATATCTTATCTATATTTTCATATATTTTATCTTTTTATAATTGTATTCATAAAAGGACCTAAGGAGTAAGTCAAATGCAAGGAGAATTTGACTTAAAAAGACTCAGGAACATAGGAAGGGGAATAAGTTAGACCAAAGAAAGAACTTAGCAAAACTGAAGGACCCGGGTGCAATGAGAGGAGTACTACCATTACTTTGTCTTAGAGGAACCAAGAACACAAAGTGCAACATTTTTGTAAGGTGATAACCATGATTTCAAATCTGTGATCCTTCTTTGGTTTATTTGGTACATGCTAATTTTTATATTTCTTTCTTACTTTTTAATATGGTTTGGCTCTGTGTGCCCACCCAAATCTCATCTCAGATTGCAATTCTCATAAATTGAGGGCAGAATCTGGTGGGAGGTGATTGGATCATGGGGGTGGTTTCCCCATGCTGTTCTCGTGATAGCAAGTGAGTTCTCATGAGATCTGATGGGTTTTTTTTGTTTTCTGAGATGGAGTCCCGCTCTGTTGCCCAGGCGGGAGGGCAATGGCACAATCTTGGCTCACTGCAACCTCTGCCTCCCAGGTTCAAGCGATTCTCCTGCCTCAGCCTCCCGAGTAGCTAAAATTACAGGCGCCCACCACCACACCCAGCTAATTTTTGTATTTTTGGTAGAGACGGGGTTTCACCATGTTGACCAGGCCGGCCTCGAACTCCTGACCTCAGGTGATCCAACCACCTCAGCCTCTAAAAGTGCTGGGATTACAGGTGTAAGCCTCTGAGCCCAGCCAATCTGATGGTTTTATAAGGGGCTCTTCCCCCTTCACTTGTTCACTCTCTGTCATCTGCTGCCATGTAAGATGTACCTTTGCTTCTCTCTCACCTCCACCATGATCATAAGTTTCCTGAGGCCTCTCCAGCCATGCACAACCGTAAGTCAATTAAACCTTTTTCCCTCATAAATTGCCCAGTCTTGGGTATGTCTTTATAGCAGTGTAAGAACAGCCTAATACATTTACATATTGTCTTCTTAAGAAAAACGGATAATTTTTGAGTTGTACAGAAAAATCATTTTTTAAAAAGTGTAGAAAGACCCTTGATCTTAAATTATTGGGTTATCTTTATTTTTACTCTTACATGTTTGGATAAATTCTTACTTTAAGATACTATACCATTTAATAAATATCTGATGAACAATTTTTAATCCTTTCTGTTAATGTATTTATTAATTACTTCTATTTTCAAGAAAGAATTACAAAATGATGCATTCAAATGCTGCCTCTGCCATTTACTAGCATACAAATTGCTTATACTCTTTCCTTATCTGTAAAATGGAATTAAAAATACCCACCAACAGGGTTATTGTGCATATTTAATTACATTACATATATAAATAAATCTGTACAACATCTGGCACATACAATGATTTGATAAACATGAACTATCTTTTCTACTTTTTGGTGACTCATTATTAAGACCCTTTACTGCCAGTACCTACCTCGGTCTTCCATTTTCAATCTCATACAGGCCATTCTGGCTCTTTCTCTCAACATGTCCATCCTTTTCGTTAAACTTGGGAGAAAAATTACTTTCACTGTAATGAGAATACCAATGTAAAATAAGAAATAATTCAAAACTACCAACAGCTTAATAATGCAAATCAATCAGTTATCCATAGTATTCCTAAAACAATTAATTTCTAAGGGTTAGTTTTTGGTTTTTTTTTTTTCCCCACAAATCCATCTTATTCCTTCAAAACAATTTTTTTTTTTTGAGACGGAGTCTCGCTCTATTGCCAGATTGGAGTACACTGGCACAACCTCAGCTCACTGTAACCTCCGCCTTCCGGGTTCAAGTGATTCTCCTGCCTCAGCCTCCCAAGTAGCTGGGACTACAGGCATGCACCACCATGCTAATTTTTGTATCTGTAGTATAGACAAAGTTTCACCATGTTGGCCAGGATGGTCTCAACCTCTTGACCTCATGATCAGCCCACCTCAGCCTCCCAAGTCCTAGGATTACAGGCATGAGCCAGCATGCCCAGCCCCTTCAAAACAATTTTTAAGGGAAAAAAAAGTTTTAACCAAAACACCATATATTACAAACATATATATTATTATTAAACTTATTAACCCCTCTGAGAGGGACTACCAGCAGAAGCACTGGAGCTCCTACCACATGCTACAAAAAGGTCGATTAGCAAGATGGAATTGCTTGTAGGCACATTGTGAAAATTATTCCAAAAATAAGACTGCAAGATAAGATTACTTCTGATGATGTTTCTACTACTTCAAAATAATTTAAATTTCTTCAAATGCACACTGATTAATATTTTTATCAGAGTAAACCCATGAAGTAGTGAATTTGCCCCACAAACTGCATAATAAATACAATGTAAATTAAAAACAGACATACTATGCTGGAAATGTTCTAGAACTTGATCTGGGTGTTGGTTACAGAACTATATAAATGTAAAATTTTACTGAGCTGCACACCTTCACATGTAAGAAATGTGCACTTTACTACATTTATATCATGCCATAACAAAAAATTTTTACTTTTTATTTATATATTTTATTTCTTTTTTCTTTCTTTCTTTTGAGATGGAGTCTCTCATTCTGTAGCCCAGGCTGGAGTGCAATGACACGATCTCAGCTCACTGCAACCTCCACCACCCAGGATCAAGTGAATCTCCTCCTGCCTTAGCCTGCCGAGTAGCTGGGATTATAGGCATGTGCCACCATATGCAGCTACTTTTTTATATTTTTGGAAAATAACAGGGTTTCACCATGTTGGCCAGGATGGTCTCAAACTCCTGACTTCAGGTGATCTGCCTGCCTCAGCCTCCCAACGTGCTGGGATTATAGGCATGAGCCACTGTGCCTGGCACAACAAAAAAATTTTTTAACAGATATAACTAAACTACTTTCCTTACCACTGTAATATCGCTGCCATAATTGCACTGACAGTGAATAAAGAGTTATGAAGCACTAAATAGTTCATGGGCAGTTCTGACACAGGTTTCATTTTTTCTTGCTTTAACTTCAGTGAGTGAGCAAAGAAATATCTGTGGTCTGTTGGGGAATAATGTCCAATTTGAATGATCCATACATTTTCTTAAGATTTCTAAGCAATCTGCCACCTAACATGCAAATAAAAAGAATTAAATGATTTAAAAACCATGAAATTGTAAAACCAGAGTTGCAATGCCTTTGGGATTCTAGAGATTCACCCCTTAAAAAAAAAAAATCACCAGGCATGCTGGCTCACGCCCGTAATCACAGCACTTAGGGAGGCCAAGGCAGAAGGATAACTTGAGCTCAGGAGTTCAAGACCAGACTCGCCAATACAGTGAGAATTCATCTCTGCTAAAAATTTAAAAGTTAGCCAGGCATGGTAGCACATGCCTGTAGTCCCAGTTGCTTGGGAGGCTGAAGTGGGAGTATCACTTGAGCCCAGGAGATGAAGGCTGCAGTGAGCTATGATCACACCACTGCACTCCAGCCTGGTGACACAGCAAGACTCTGTCTCAAAAAAAAAAAAACAAAAAAATAAACAAATAAGAACTGTTTATCTTTGGCAAGAATTCAAGCAAATGTGGAAACTGAATTATAACACAGTTAAGCATAGATTAAAATTATTTTCAGATATAAAACCATTACCTTCTCTAAAAGTCTTATTCCCAGCTAATGCTATCTTATTTGCTCACCTGATTTGAGGATCTGCCCACCTAGGTCCAGCCAAGACAGAGACTGCAGTGTATTCCACCGGGTTATAGTCTTGCCACTCAACAACCCAGCCCACTTTCTCATTAGGAACCTGGCTTCGTTGAACTTTTGAACCTGGGTAAGGAGACGTCCGAGCCTTGTTGTGGGAATTCTCTTTGGAACCATTAGAACCAGACATGATGTTGGTATTAAGATGAAACCAACAAGATGAAAATGAGTTTCTGGGGGAGAAAAAGAAAAAACATTTTACATACATACCAAAAATATATTAATTAAAGGGGCATGGTGGCTTACTTCTGTAATCCCAGCACTTTTGGAGGCTGAGGCCAGTGGATTACCTGAAGTTAGGAGTTCAAGACCAGCCTGACCAATATGGTGAAACCCCATCTCTAAAAAAAAAAACACAAAATTAGCCAGGCATGGTGGCATATGACTATAATCCCAGCTACTTGGTAGGCTGAGGCAGAGTAATTGTTTGAATTCGGGAAAGAAGAGGTTGCAGAGGGTCGAGATCGCACCACTGCATTCCAACCTAGGCAACAAGAGTGAAAACTCTATCGCAAAAAAAAAAAAAAAAAAAAATGAATTCAAAGACCCAATAACATACTTTCCAATCTCAAAAATCTTTAAGAATCAGAAAATTCAAATATGATGCATATTAGTCTAAAGGTCCAACATTTATGAGAGATTATTTTCAAATATAAATTTTTTTAACATATAGCTAAATCTTATTAGTTGGAACCCACTGACTGAATTTATTTTAGGTGAGGAAAAAAGGACACAAGCTTACTTGTCTGTTATCTGTTGTGGAAGAGGAAGTTTGTTATGAAAACTCAAACCATAAACACAAATATAAGCTGGGCACGGTAGCTCACACCTATAATCCCAGCACTTTGGGAGGCCAACGCAGGCAGATCACTTGAAGTCAGGAGTTTGAGACCAGCTTCCCAAACATGGTGAAACCCTGCCTCTACTAAAAATGCAAAAATTAGCCAGGTGTGGTGGTGTACATCTATAATTGCAGCTACTGAGGAGGCTGGGGCAGGAGAACTGCTTGAACCCAGGAGGTAAAGGTTACAGTGAGCTGAGATTGCCACTGCACTCCAGCACTCTAGCCTGGGTGACAGAGAGAGAGACTCCACCTCAAAAAAAAAAAAAGTGTAAAAGACAACTGTTTATGTGAAGGAATACATTTTTTAAAAATCACCTATATTCTAACATACATGTAAAACATATGGCAAATATGGTGCAAAGGAAATATGGGAAAATAGAAATTAACAGTCGAAAAATTCCTACATTGAATATGAACTAATGTAATATTACTTGAAGGTAGACTGTGGCAAATATACAAATTGTAAACTTTGGAGCAAAATTTAAATAAAATATACAGGCATGAAATAATTGGACAGCATATACAAAAGAAGACCACCAACCTTCACCCTAACTACACAGCTTATACAAACATTTTTCATATCTCATCTTGCCCAAAGTTAAATGGCTTCTCATTATTGTTAAAATAAAAATATAAAATTTTTTTGATGACCTTAAACTAGGACATCTAAAGGAGACTCTGAGAATGTGGTAAGATTATGATAGTTCCTTTCTCCTGCTCTCGCAGTACCAGTCAATTTGCTCTTCTTAAGACAAATGATTGCAAATATCCACTTGAACAAGGTTGTGGAATAAGTTAACAGCATTTGTCTCCTAATCTCATAGAGTGAGAAGTACACAACAATCATTTCTGAGGTATTTCTGCCAAAAATATATGACACGAATCTGGACATTAGGAAACATAGGACAGACCCAGGTTAAGAGACATCTTACAGAATAAAGGTCTGGGGCTGGGCACGGTGGCTCACATCTGTAATCCCAGCACTTTGGGAGACCGAGGCAGGCAGATTACCTGAGGTCGGGAGTTCAATACCAGCCTGACCAACATGGAGAAACCTCGTTTCTACTAAAAAGACGGGGTTTTAGTATGCCTGTAATCCCACCTACTCGGGAGGCTGTCAGGAGAGATGTCTGAATCTAGGACGTGGAGGTTGCCATGAGCCAAGATCGTGCCATTGCAGTCCAGCCTGGGCAACAAGAGCGAAACTCCATCTCAAAAAAAAAAAAAAAGAATAAAGGTCTGTACTCTCTAAATTGTAAGGTCATGAAAGATAGAAAAAGGTACAGGAACTCTTCCAGACAGATGCAGACTATAAAGACATGACAATTAGAAGTAATCAATGATCCTGCATGTGTTGATGAACCATAAAGGAAAATATAAACATTGCAGGATAGGTAGTAAAGTTTGAATGGGGTTGTATAAATAATTTTAAAAGGTGACTTTTTTTAAAAAGTATCTATTTGCTCCCAACAAAGAAAAACCCAGGACTAGATGGCTTTACTGGTAAATTCTACCAAACATTTAAAGAAGAATCAACACCAATATTCCTTCAACTCTTCCAAAAACCTGAAGAGGAAGTAAACACTTCCAAACTCACTCTGTGAGGACAGCATTATCCTGATTCTAAAGCTCAACGAAGACACTATAAGAAAACTACAAACAAGTACCCTTAATTAATACTGATGTAAAAATCCCCAACAAAGTAATCAGCAGAATTCAACAGCACATTAAAAGGATTATATACCATGACCAAGGAACACATTCCGAAAATGCAATGATGGTTCCACATAACGAAAATCAACCAACATAATGTACCACATTAACAAAAAAATTTTTTTAAATCCTCTTGATTGATGCAGAAAAATTATCTAACAAAATTCAACACCTTTTCATAATTTAAAAACATTCAACAAACTAGGAACAGAAGGAAATTCTCAACATAATAAAGGCCATATATGAAAAGCCCACAGTTAATTGTGTGAAGGTGAAAGACTGAAAATTTTTCCTCTAAGACCAGGAACAAGACAAGGATGTTCACTTTTGCCACCTTTATTCAACATAATACTGGAAGTTCTAGCCAGAGCAATTAGGAAAGTACATAAAGGAAAAGACATCCAAATTGGAAAAAAAGAAGTAAAACTGTCTCTACAAGTTAAGCATCCCTAATTCAAAAACCCAAAATCAGAAATTTTTTGAGTGCTGATATGAAGCCCCAGATAGAAAACTCCACACCTGACCTCATGGGTCACAACCAAAACTGTTTCAGACACAAGTTTAAAATAGTGTATAAAATTATCTTCAGGCTACCTGTATAAAGTATATATGAAACATAAATGAATTTTGTGTTTAGACTGGGTCCCATCTCCAAGATATCTCATCATGTGTATGTGAATACTCCGAAACCTGAAATTCAAAACACTCTGGTCCCAAGCATTTCAGATAAGAAATACTCAACCTGTATTTACAAGTCACATGATATTTTATGTAGAAAACCCAAAATAACTCATGAAGAAACTGTTAGAATAAATTAATCTAACAAAGTTGCAGGATATGAAATCAACACACAAAAATGGTTACATTAAAAAACAGTAACAGGCTGGGCATCTTGGCTCATGCCTGTAATCCCAGCACTTGGGAAGACAGAGGCAAGCAGCTGAGGTCAGCAGTTCAAGACCAGTCCGGCCAACATGGAGAAACCCCATCTCTACTAAAAATACAAAAATTAACCAGGCATGGTAGTGCACACCTGTAATCCCACCTACTTGAGAAGCTGAGGTGGGAGAATCACTTGAACCCAGGAGGTGGAGGTTGCAGTGAGCTGAGATAGAGACTCCATCTCAAAAAAACAAAACAAAACACTAACAGTTAACAATCCAAAAGGAATATTAAGAAAACAATTCTACTTACAATAGCATCAAAAAGAATAAAATACTTAGGAATAAACTTAAGAAAGAAAAACTTTTAGACACTGAACACTACAAAATATTGCTAAACAAAATTAAAGACACCAGTAAATAAAGAGACATGCTGTGTTCACTGACTAGAAGAATATATTGTTAAGGTGTCAATACTACTCAAAGTTATCTACAGATTCAATGCAATCTCTGCCAAAATCCCAGTGATGTTTCTTCCAGAAACAGAAAACTCTACCTTAAAATTCACATGGAATCTCAAGGAACCCCAGATAGCCAAGACGATCTTGAAAGGGAAATACAAAGTTCAAGGTCTCACACTTACTACACAGCTATAGTAGTCACAACACTGAGATACTGATATAAAGACTGACAGACATATAGACTAGTGGGATAGAAGTAGAACCCAGAAATAAATCCTCACAATAATTTTTGTCAAAGGTACCAAGACCATTTCAAGAGGGAAAGGGCAATCTGGGAAAATTGGATATTCACATGCAAAAGTAGTAAGAAGTTTGACCCTTCCCTTACACCATATACAAACATTAACTAAAAATGGATCAAAGACCCAAACAGAAGACCTAAAATGATCAAAATCTTAGAGGAACACATGCTGACAAAACTTAACAAAACTGGATTTGGCAATGATTTTTTCTGGATATGACACCAAAAGTACAAGCAACAAGAGAAAAAATTAATAAGTTGGCCTATATCAAGATGAAAAACTTCTGTGTATCAAAAGACACAGACAAGAGTGAGAAAGCAACCCATGACACAGGAGAAGATACTTGGGAATCACATGTCTGATAAGGGATTGGTTTCATCCAGAATATAGAAAGAACTCCTACAACACAACAACAATAAAACAACCCAATTAAAAAATGGGCAAAGGACTTCAACAGACATTTCTCCAAAGAATATAAACAAATGGCCAATAGGCACATGAAAAGATGCTTAATAGCACTAATTATTAGACAAATGCAAGTCAAAACCACAATGAGGTACTTGCCTCAGACCCATCAGAATGACCACTATAAAAAAAAAATACAGAAAATAAGTATTGGCAAGGATATGGAGAAATTTACTTGCTAATAAAAATAGTGACATCAAACAATTTGTATTTTCATAAGGTATTGCTGAAAAAATGCAATAAAGTGCTATAATATGGTACCATTTTTATAAAGCAATGACATGAAAAATAAATAAGTACATACATTTCAGTGCATGTATATAATGCATTTGTCTTTGCTATTGAACCATAACAAATCACTACAAATTCACTGACTTATGACAATACAAATTTATTGTCTTAGGTTAGAAGTCCAACAGGGGTCTCAATGGGCTAAAGACAATGTAGCAGCAGGGCTGCATTCCTTTCTGGAGGCTCAAGAGAAAAATCCATTCCCCTTCCTTTCCT